ATGAGGTGTTTTGCTGAATTAGCTGAATTATAAACCGTGACTTATTTCAATATATTGAAATTATTCTGCCTTATATTTCGTCCTGGCAAAGCGGTATGATATAAACAGCACATTATTCAGCAAATTGAGCATTCTGCATTTCATTCCTTGGGGATGAGGCAGCATTTTCCTTGCGATAGTAACCTCTAGTTTTAGTTCTTAATAGTGTTTTTACAATGAAATTGCAGATTCTTACTGAAAAACGGAAGTTTAATTAGCTAAAGCATAATTGGGAAAATAAATCTACTATGTTATGTTAACAAAAATACAATCTCTGGTTATGTTTTCCATGAAGGAGCTGAATAGATTGGTAAAATGAAATGTAAAACTAATGCTTGACAGAACTTTTAATTAAGAACTTTTTCATGATTTGGCGTGCTCAATCGAGTTATTGAGCACGCCGGAAGTAAGAGAGCACGAAAAAGCGTTTTTTTTGTAGAAATTTTTTTTATAATATAAAATTCCATCAAAAACAAGTCTTATATTCCTGACGAGATTCCATTTTCTTCTAACGCAAGCCAAATATCAAAACGTTACAAAATCCTACGTTGTTTGCCAGCGAGTGGTATTTTACATGCATAAAATAATTGAACATTTATTCACGTGTGATGATTTAAAGCCTTCCTTTCACTGTGTGTATTGTGCATTCAGTAAGCTTCTATTTAATGTAAAGTTCAATCTTGCATGCACGCTTGCTGAAATATCAATTTAACTTATATGCTTTTTGGATTTCTTGCTGATTAACAATTTAGTCTTCGAACTGTCATGGCTATTTAATGTAAAGTTCAATCTTGCATGCACGCTTGCTGAAATATCAATTTAACTTATATGCTTTTTGGATTTCTTGCTGATTAACAATTTAGTCTTCGAACTGTCATGGCTATTTAATGTAAAGTTCAATCTTGCATGCACGCTTGCTGAAATATCAATTTAACTTATATGCTTTTTGGATTTCTTGCTGATTAACAATTTAGTCTTCGAACTGTCATGGCTATTTAATGTAAAGTTCAATCTTGCATGCACGCTTGCTGAAATATCAATTTAACTTATATGCTTTTTGGATTTCTTGCTGATTAACAATTTAGTCTTCGAACTGTCATGGCTATTTAATGTAAAGTTCAATCTTGCATGCACGCTTGCTGAAATATCAATTTAACTTATATGCTTTTTGGATTTCTTGCTGATTAACAATTTAGTCTTCGAACTGTCATGGCTATTTAATGTAAAGTTCAATCTTGCATGCACGCTTGCTGAAATATCAATTTAACTTATATGCTTTTTGGATTTCTTGCTGATTAACAATTTAGTCTTCGAACTGTCATGGCTAAAGTAAGAATATTATAGTTATAATGAACATTTTTCTATACAAAAGAATTCAATTTTTTATTTAGATGAATACCCATCATACCAAGAAAAAGAAGAAATTTGCCATTGACGCAGAGAAACTGACAACAAGTCGCCGATCAAAGAATATGGACGTAAGAGAGTATATCTGTAACTATATATATTGCTACAAACTTGTATATATTGCTACAAATCCAAACGAAATAGCTGACTTCTTCAATACCTACTTTGCCCCCGTATTTACATCTAAAAACATTCCTGTTCAACATCTCAACAGGACAGATCCAGTTTTAACTGAACTCAAACTGAGTTAGATGTAGAAACGTTACTTAACTCCTTTTATACTAACAAAGAAACCGGACTGGACGAAATCCCAGCCAGACTTCTGAAAGAAACCCCCTCAATAATCACTCCCTCCATCTGCGAGCTATTCAACAATCATTGCAACAAGGAACTGTGCCAGAAGATTGGAAACTAGCGAACGTTGTTCCCGTTTATAAGAAATGTGACAAAGAATACACAGAGAATTACAGGCCAATTTCAGGCCTACTCTGGCATCTAAACTCGCATTAAAATCTTAAATCGCCTGAAATCGCCTTAAATTGCCAACAGGAATTGTGTTTGATACATTCAGTGCATGTACTCAAGTTTATCAATTGCTGCTATTTTGCTGGTAAATCATGCATGTAATCCAGGTGCTTTGCAATCATAGGTAGTGCAACTTAGATAAAGCAAATAAGTGGATTAAGTGACAATATTTGGTCACCCAATAGTCACCGGTCATTGATAAAAAGAAAGTTTTTTTAATAATAAGGAAATATATATGTTATTTACCGGCTGTGAGGTCCGGATGAGAAAAACTGTGCCCGAGGTCTTTAAAACGGCCCGAGCCCGAAGGGCGAGGGACGTTTTCAAGACCGAGGGCACAGCTTTTCTCATCCGGACTGACGTTGCCGGTAAATAACGTGTTTATTTTTTATCAGATGTAAAAAATAAATTCATTAAAGTTCTGGTGTTGCTTGCAAACTAATTCAGATCAGTGCAGTTGTGTATTTTCAAAGCGAGGCTGACAAAAATTGAAAAGTTGAAATATATAAAACACGAATACGAAAACTCGAGAAAACTGGCAAGAAACACACAAAAAGACGTACAGTTTCAGTAAAAATGTACATGCTTTTTTCATAAATATGATAGCAGGGAAGCTTTGGAATAAAAACTTTCATGCCTGCCGTTTTGGCTTCGGCTTTGACAAAATCAGTTGCTCCTGAGTCCTGACAACGACAGGTTTATGTTCATGTTCAGTACCGATCAAAAACATATAAAAATGAATCTGTTTTGATTTAATCATCGTTTTTCTACTAAAAGGACAATGAAAAAGGTATGTTGTTTTTATATTTTTGTATTTCTTCTTCTCGTCTCAGGATAATATGCTTGAAAAAAGTGTTTTTAAACACAAACTTTTACTTTGTTTACAATATTTATATCAGTGAAAAATGCATGACACAAATGGGTAGAGAATATATTAGTGACTTGTTTTTACTGCTG